ATTCGCTCCTTCTTTGTTTTGAAGGACGCTTTGATGGTCGTGGGTCCATGAGATTCCATCCTCTAAGTGTATTTCGTGCTTTGTTGGGCAGCATCAGAGTAACTCCCAGAGTTTGTGGAGTATTTTTCTCTTCGTGACCGGAATACAACAGCATCTCTTCCGTACCTAAACTTTGCTGCCCAGCTTGGGTCTAATGAGTTTCGCTGAATCTGAGAACCAGCAAGTTGAATCACCTTATTTCCGTTACTATTTGACTGATCCTCCCGGTTTCCTAAGTTGTCTGGACGTCCCATGTATCTACAAAAATTGTTGTTCTGGTTGTAGAAGAAACATTGGCCTCGTGACTTCCGAAGCAAGATTGTTCTCTGCGGTTCAGGTTTGCCCACCTCAAACCCAACCCTCCTCCTTTGTGTGGGCTTGAGACTGGCAGTATCTGTAGAAAATAGACACGCGGAGGTGAACCTGTATTGTCTTTCTGGAAATTTAGTGCCATTTTTTCTTATCTATTTACTGTCTTAGATTAATTGTACAGTTAACAACAACTCCCTACATAGAATTTAGTTTTATTTTATGCCTAGTCTGCTAGTGAAGCCAAGATAGTAGATTAAGTATAACGTAATTTAAAAATTACATGAACTATCTGTTTTTATGACGACGCAAATGCTGAAAAATCAGTCGTCTAGTTTTATTAGGACATAAATTAATCCTTATCGCGCTAAAAAAAAGAAAAGTGGTATTTTTCCTTGCTGAGTATATTCTATTGTTGTGACCGTTTAATACGTATCAAGACTACTGTTCTCACCTTATTTGAATTTATTTCAGCTAAAATATTCAATTAGAGTATCGTTGTTCCAAAAAGGGCAGTGATTTTGTACTTGTTGTGATTACCATTGCTTTTGTGTAATTATTGCATCAAAAGTATTCTTGTTGTAAATCAAAGTATTTTAGTTAATCTTTGAAATCTTCCTAAAGTTTGTTTTGTGGTACCCTTTTACTCGTTGACGGCCACTGTGTTCATACTGTGATCATATTGTGTTTTACACCTTAATCTGACTAGAATGGTTGGTAGTACTCACAAATGTGGACAACCAAACTGCTTGTTCCCTGTGGAAGAAGGAATGCAGTGTGATGAATGCAAATAGTGGTTCCATAAAATGTGCATCCTTTTAAGTCCCACCGCACTTAAAAGATGTTCGAAGCCTAACTCACATTGGCTTTGCATGTTTTGCTGTGCAAATAAGACGTTACTAATACAGGAGGTTATGAGCCCATTGGCTTTGGCTTTTAAGAAGAACGAAGGCGCATACGCGGATAACACGAGCACTGACAGTGACGAATGTGTCAGTGTAGTACCTGCTGTTACGAGACGCCTTAAACAACCGACTTTTACTGACGAAAAAGTGAAATCTCCGTTAACACTAACGATGGGGTAGTACAACCTGACACTGATATTGGTAACCATGATCCTCTAGTGGAAACTGAAGATCTTGAAAAAAGGTCACCGCTCCAAATAGTCCCAATGTCCAGATGGATCAAAAATGGCCTACGGTACGGAGAAAACGAAACGAAAAGAAAAAAAGCTGTGGGCGGTACGCAGGTGGTTAAGAAATCACTAGTGGAGTCCGATTGTGAGTCATTAAATGCACTAAAAAAATTTGATAGTAAGAGAGAAACCCACCCTGGCGTGACTTAGAAGAAGAATTTAATATCATGAAATATTATTGTGAGCAAATTGCTGGAGTCAAACGACCCTGATTCCAAAATTAGGCACGCACATGATTTAGAGAAGCTGGGAGAATATATTAGTAGTATCTTACCAGATAACTCTCAAGGAGTTTAGGTAAAAAAACTGGTTAGAATAGGCATGAGGACTGAGGACACTGTTGAAACCCGACCATGCAGACTCCTTAAGATAATCCTAGGATCGGAGAAGCAACGGGATCTCCTGTTAAGTAGCGCTCATAGTCACGACAATTCCAACATCCGAGTTATACCTGATATGTATCTCGAAGATAGAATAAAAAGGAAGAAAGCACTAGGTGAACTAGAAACCCGTCAACAAAACGGTGAGTAAAATCTCCAGTTAGTGGGTTTTTGGATAGTCAGGTCTTGGAAGCGAATGCTACCTGTGTCGATAGGCCGTTCTACCTAGGAGTTCTATATGCTAACGCTCGAAGTTTAAGAAATAAGTTCTATGAACCAGAAGCACTAGTGGACAAATTAAGACCACTCATTGTAGCAGTGACAGAAACTTGGTTAGTCCATGACTTAGATATTACTCTAGAATTTTCCGAATACCAGTACCTAAGGAGTGATAGACATAGATGTAGAAAAGGAGGTGGCATCCTGTTATATATAGCTAATAATATTAATATCCGCTCCCCTGCTAGCGAATCCCATAATAGCGATACTTGTGAAATCATTAGCTGTGAATTGGCTATCGGATGTGGCACATTTATGCTCGGTGTCATATATCGAAGCCTAATCTGTTTATCTGATGACTTTATTTTAGAGCACATCCAGCTTTGGAGTGCAAATAACAGATGCTTGATAATAGGAGACTTTAACGCACCTGATATTAGTTGGACTGAGATGACCACAGAAGGATCTATAAACTCCTTTGATAGTAGGTTCCTGTAACAATAATGGAGCATGCACTAGTGCAGCATGTATCCAACCCACACGCTTTGGTGCTAACCAGGTTCTTCTTTGTGGACTGGTAATCACTCATACTGAGGATATGGTCGACTAAATATTCTCCACCGTTAGTGAACAGTGATCACGCTGTTTTATCATTCACGTTTAGAACTAGGGACATGTTATACGATCAGGTTACACCCGCCAAATGTATGAAAGCTAACATATCAGCCATCAGGAATGCGCTGCTAAGACAGATTGGTTGTAGTACTAGCTATCAGTTGAAGAAGCATGGTCTGTATTTAAAGGTAAATTAGACTAGTTACGTCCCGTTCATACCATACTGGTACGAGAAGACCGATAACAGTCCACCATGGATAACTAAAACGGTCAGGAAACTCTTAGAAAAAGGAAGAATCACTGGAATATGTTCATCTCTACTGGCTTAGAACAATACAGATCCGTTATTGTAAGATTAGGAATGCTGTAAGCGTTAATAAGCAAGACTAGACTATCATACGAAAAACAATTGGTTAGGGATTCTAATATAGTCCGAAACGGTATTCTCGTATATAAAAAGGCGAACTAAGAGAAGCGATGGAATTCCATCACTTTTGATACGAGAAATCCGTTAATCTTAGCAGAGAATGATGCGAAAAACTGAAGCTTTATCGGAATATTTTAGTAAAGTGTTTTCTATCGGTATGAGGAACGACCACGATTCATCGTGACCGTGACGGCTCGCTGATGGATCCTGTAGTCATTGAGAAAGTACTTTTTAAGGCTACTTCAGCATCTCAAACCGATAAGTCCAGTGGTCCTGATGATATTCATCTAGGATTATGAAAGCCATAAGATGAAATTGCTGAACCATTAGCGATCTTTTGACATGTCTCTGGGCAGTCGAGACTGCCCGGAGACTGGAAAGACGCTATAATAAGTCCGGTGTATAAGGCTTGGAGTAGGGACTTAGTAACTACAGGCCTGTTAGCTTAACTAGTGCAGTTGTAAAACTGATGGAAAAAATCATTCGGATATATGTTATTAACTATGTTGAAGGGCATAATCTTTTCTCCAGGGAACAACATGGTTTTCGGAGAGGCCTATCATGCTTGACAAATCTTCTCTTTGCAATAGAAGATTGGGCTGCTGCAAAAGATCGGAATATTCCTGTGGATGTGATCTTCATAAATCTAAGTAAGGCCTTCGATAAGGCCTCCCACTCCGATCTTAAATTCAAACTGGAACGTTTTAGAATCCATTATACAGTCGTAGATTGGATAAGTAACTTTCTAAATGACAGGAGACAAAGGGTGAAGGTAAATGGAGCTCTCTCCTCGTGGGTACATGTAAAAAGTGGAGTTCCTCAAGGTACAATCCTCGGGCCCCTTCTCTTTTTACCTTATGCAAATGAATTACCAACTATAGCAAAATCATCCGTTCCAATCTTCGCTGATGACAAGAAAATTTGGAGACCTATACACAGTATGTCGGATAAGATACTATTGCAGAGTGATTTTAGCTCATTGATGGTATGGTTGGGCAGATGGTCACTGGAAGCAGATCCTAATAAGAGTGTGTTGATACAAATAAATAACTATGATGAATTGTATCACTATACAATATGTGGATTCGTGCTACCCAAAGTAAGAAATTATAAAGATTTAGGAGTCATATTAGGCAGTGATCTCAAAACCACTAGTCACTGTAAGGCTGTTGCTGGGAAAGGCTATGGGGTATTATGGTCTATTCGTAGATCTTTCCAGTATTTAGATGATGAAATGTTTAAATTATTATACCCGATTTATGTGCGACCACATTTAGAATATGGGATTCAAGCAGAGAGTCCTTGTTTCAAGGATGAAGCAGAGATGCTGGAAAGAGTCCAACGACGAGGTACTAAGATGGTATAAGGTCTACCTGGCCTATTTTATGAAGACAGACTGAGACACCTTAACTTATTTCCGTTATCTTACCGTAGAATACGGGGTGATCTAATATTGGCTTATCTTATACTGAACGATGACCTTGGTATCAACACGTCTTATCTTTTACTTTCGTCTAGGACTGATCCTTTGAGAGGACATTCGAAGAAAGTTCAAAAACCGAGATAAACCGTTTACGTCTGGAGTTCCGTTTCTCGCACCGAGTAGTGAATTACTGGAATTCTCTACCGGAACACGTAATATCAGCACCTTCTGTTATTATATTCAAAACGAGATCAAACTTCTACGGCATCACAAAGTGCAAGGACTAATATGGGTCGAAAAACCTCCTATCCTTATTACTGAAGACCGAAGACTGGATGTATAGCTGCATCAATGACAAGGTCGTATTTTGACGCGCGAGTATCAACACTGGAAATGTCTAGGTCGGTTTCTCCAAAGGTTAGGGCTCTGGTGGATCGGATTATTCGAGTTGATCATGCAGGAGAGTTAGGTGCCAATAGAATATACCAAGGACAGCTCATGGTACTTGGGAAATCGAGTATAGGCCCTAAAATAAAGGTAACCTTTTAACAAAGTTACATATCACATGTTTAATTATCATTATGATCTTAATTTAACTCATGTATACTACGAAGTATAGCTAACGATCAAAGGGATTTGCCAGTTGAGTGTAGTTTTGCTTTTACTATTTCAAGAATTGTGAATTAAGATATATGATGTAGTCAGTTACTTTACGGAATGGACTTTAGAGCCGCTCCTTCGGTTCGTCTACCTAGACTATAGTAAGAATCCAGCAGCTCCGTTACTTCGTATTTTTTTGGCATTACTTGTGGTTATGAGCACTTTCGAACTCACCCAAATGGAATTCGTCGCGTTGGACTTGATTAGTTTGTTAGTAACGCCCAATATACTCAGTACACTCACTGACGAGACTCTAATTTATGGACGACCTTTGAACAAATCTTAAGCGACCTTTAGAAGTATTAGCCAATCAACAAACAGTCAGTATAGAGTAAAAATATATTATACAAAACCAAGGAAATAAAGTGGATACACTTATACGTGGTTCAAAGACTTGTGAAGGTTAGAAAGAGGTTCAGAGGTTCTAAAATCGTAATGCATGCATTAGAGGAAATCATCCATACGGCTTCAGAATAGTCGGCCTCTGGAGCCATGATAAAGTCTCAAAAACTCTTTCAGTCTCGACCACATAGCTTCAGTATTGTTTATGTGCACTCCGGTTGTTGAGTGCACAAAATGCTACTTGTAGACAACGACACGACGCACACAACCAAGACTATGTAGGAGCTTGTACGCTCTCCAAACATCCGTATATATTGTAGTACCTGGCTGCAGCCAGTGTTACTGGTGCTTTTATTATCCAGTTTTCAATAATTGTCGTAGTTTGCCTTAGTTAGGAATTATATGTGTGGGTTTTCATCACGAACTGACATCAGCTATAATGCCAGAAATTTATTTAGCCAAGTGGATGAAAAGATTTCTCGTTGAAATCCGAGATCTATTATCTTATACCTGATTGTTTCGTCCACAAATTATAGTCCCGCCGTTTTATTTGTTATAGCCGCTCAATTATCACGTTTTGTACAAAATTCCCTGTGAACCGATCGTACGTTAGCATTAAGAACTGAGGTTTGCGCCGTAACCTTGAAATCCCTAAGACGCCTCTGAGTGGCTCGTCCATAAATTAGAGTCTCGCCACACATAGATATTGGTACAAGGAGGCACCAAATACATATGCGCCACACAAATCTCATTTGATATGTGTGAGGGCTGTGATACTACCCAGGTGCCCAAACCGAAGCAGGTGGTTTCCTAGGGGCCACACCCGGAGTCTTCGACCTGAAAGTCTGATCCACAAAGCAGTGGAGCAACGTAAGGAGATGCAGTCCCATGGTAGCTGGTGACCAACGATTGGTTCCTACGTCATTTGTTCCTTCAGGATACTGGAGCCCATGTGCACCATTGGTTTGGAATCAGGGTTTTCCGACTCCCCTAGGTGGACTCTCTGTCCACCAACCGGGTTGAAGCGCCGGACATTCGCTTTTCGTCCTGTCAATTTCGTAAACAATACCCCCGCCACGAGAAGGCAGTGAGTAGGACATCCCTGGCAGAGGCTTATCTTGGAAGTCTGATCAGCCCTAATGGGTTGGTGTCTGACGAAACCTCCGCACGGATTCGAAAAGCTCGCTTGGCTTTTGCCAACTTACGTCACCTATGGCGAAGGCGAGATATCTGTCTATCAATAAAAGCAAGAGTATACTGCGCGGCAGTCCGTTCTGTTTTAATTTACGGCAGCGAAACATGGCCATTAAGAGTAGAAGACACTCGTAACCTACTAGTATTTGACCACAGATGCCTTAGAAATATTGCTGGAGTTTGCTGGGATCACCGGGTAAATAATAGTGAGGTTAGACGCAGGGTATTAGGGAATGATGATAAATCAGTTGATGAGGTTGTGAATCTTCATCGACTGAGATGATTGGGCCACGTGTTACGTATGCCCGAACACCGATTACCACGACGTGCGATGCTAACCGGTGTTCGGGATGGTTGGAAGGAAGTTAGGGGCAGCCAAACCAAAATGTGGCATCAGTGCTTTAAGTCACTAACTTCTGGTCTGAGCCATGTTGGTAGATGCAGACTACTTGGTTGGGGTCTGTGTGACTATCGTAACCATTGGTTGGAGACTCTTGGTGACATGGCGCAGAATCGATCACAATGGCGTAGGTGTATACACTCTCTGTCTTCCCTTAAACTAAGAGATTAAAATTGTTTTGTATCTTTTTTTCTACGAACTAATTCTTTCTTCCTGTACTATGTCCTTATATGCAATCTTTCTTTCATATATTACCACCTCTGAACTAACTACTTTTATGAATCCGGTGTTGATCTTGTTGTGTTAATGAGGTATGACAACTTGGACCGATGCATATATTGCCTGGTCCTACGTCGTAGCTGACTGACTGCAGAAGCTATATACACGTGGCCATGTGAGAGCATTTCGAGAGGGTGAGCGGACTCTCCCCTTTCTAGGCCGTACCAGGGCATCATTGCATCTTAAAGAATACTTAGTTCCGAATTTCGGGCGTGTCTGAGAAAGTCAACTCATCTATTGATGTATTCGTTCGAATCGCAAGATATCTTTAGGTACATGGCTATAATGCTATATCATGATTACTGAACGATAAAAGCATAATTTTTTGAGTTTATATTCAATATGTGGCTTTCGGGTGCTTTTATTAATGTTATTTCATCACAAGAATTCCCAAAGCTACTACTCATATACATGCTTTTAAAAGAGTCATTTAATCGATGTGTTATAATTTTCGTGTTTCTGAGTTATTTTAGATTGCTCTTGTCTTTCCAAGTTGTCCCATGTTTTTTTAGTAATGTCCGACACTGGTGGTTAGATATTCTAGTTTGTATTTTCATAATACATGAAATGTTTACAAAGCTGTAGTGATAATCTTATACTTTATTCATAGGAAATGCATGATCAAGAAGTGGAACATTTTAAAAAATTCCAGGAACTTATTCCTATTCATAGAGTTAGACCTACATTACTTTTGCCTTTGTGGAGCATTGCTGGTTTACACTAGGTGTGGGAAGTGCGCTTTTGGGTTCAAAATGTGCTATGGCCTGTACCGTTGCTGTCGAGTCAGTGATTTCTGAACACTACAACAATCAAATTCGTGAGCTTGTTGAAAGTGACGCTGAAACCTACCAAGAATTGCTGCAGGTTAGTTGATATTTGGATAGTTTACTGTTTGGTTTTATATATTTGTTGGTGTACAACAGTGTAATTTGATCCTACTTTTCTTGCTAATTAGTTATGAAGATCGTAGAGCCTGGCGCAAATTTTCATCGATCCGAGTTGCTGCATTCCACATAACATCAAGAGAGGAAATTGCTAAAAAAAACAAAGATAGGTGAGAAATAATGTCGAATTCAGTGTAAAGCCTTATAGTAGAAACATGATTTAAAAGGGACCGATAAAAGTATTGGAAGTTTGGAAAAACGTAGTATTAAAGATCTAGAAAAAGAGAGGTAATAAATTCAAGTGCACCATTCTAAACTATTTTATCCAACCATAGATTACGATCATTACAGACCCTGTCTTGGAATTTTACATCCACTGACATGATTCAGCACATCATTCATTGAATCCATAATTCAGTCCCGTATCTTTGTTTAGCTACTTGTAGCATTTCGCATTGTGCATCGTTTTATGTTGTGATATAGCACTAACAACGTTTCAACCACCCAAGTTAGTGAGAATTGGATAATCCAGTCAACCGGCTTACTATTCCTACCTAACATTTTATACTTAACTAGATATTATAACAACTGATCTCATGCTTGTTAAATTCTTGTCCGTAAAATAGTTCCGTACACCTTATGGTCCAATCTCTCCACCTTCGAAATGGAGTTCGATTATTGTTAACTCGGATATAAAGATTTTTCAAGTATGGTCAAAGCGAATCAAGATAATTTCAAATATATTGTCCTAATTTTGAGCATTTAAAAGATTTGTGTGATTAATTCTTTGCTCAAAAACATATGCAGAAGTCTTTCATGTCTAGTTTACTTGTGTTTAATAGGAGCCTGAAATCATCTTAGCATTGGCTTCATTTTTATATTTGTAGATTCTGTATGAGTACATCCAAGGTTGACGGCTTGTTGTTTAACTCCTGTTCCTGGAACAGTATGTATTAATCACCAGAACCTGCACAGCAAAACTGGAGACTCAAGTGTATCGAAAGCCAACCCACACATATTAAATCCTTAATTACAGTAACAACGACCGTAGAGCCCACAAAATCAACTGCGTACAAACTTCGTTTAGGAGGGCGAGGACACACTGCAACACACTTGCAGCGCAGGAAAATGGAAATAAATGTCTGAAGGCAATCTCCCAATAAAACGACTATTTAATCAACTTCATCAAAAAATGCCAACAAAACGCCTCAGTAGAAACAAAATCAAGTATAGAAACCAACAAATGGATCATCCTACCATATATAAAAGGCATATCAGGAATTGTAGCGACATTGTTGGAGCCTTTTGGAATAGGTGTGGCACACAAACCAACAAAATCACTTCACTCAATCCTACACAAATCAAAGGACGAAAGAAAAAAAACCGAACATCATCTGCAAAATAAATTGTTTTAACTGTGGAAGACACTAAATCGGACAAAGCGGATGTTACCTTCATCTTTGCCTGCATGAACATCAATTAGCGGTCAAACGCCATGACATATCCTCGCTTATATCAATGCTTTTGGACAACTGTGGACGCACATTTGACTGGGAAAATGCTGAAATCTTGCATAGAGGCAGTTCTAAAAACACTAGAGAATTTTAGAAGCTTGGCACTCAGGTTAATCAGCAATCAACAAACACATTGAAATCCATCCAATTTATCAATCAATCAGAAAAATTATGGACAAATATAGGACCAGAACCAACACAAGAAAACTGGAGACTCAAGTATATCGGAATAAAATCAGTGGCCGAAATAATCAAAATAAAGAGGTAAACAATGAAAGGTTAAGGGTGAACAATAACCAATCAAGACCGAGGTCTACAGGACAAGCCGTGAGCCATATATGGATAAATTCGAACACTTCACTTCTACCTGAATTTTATGCTACTGATGATGTCGTTCAGAATAACGATGAAAGCTCTACGACCAAACCATCCAACTCAGAGAACAAAACTCCTCCAAAATATTTCTGTATTTTGATGCAAGACATTTAATTGGTTGGTTTGCCGCATGGATGTTAATTATTAAGTGTCTCTGATTCAAAGACCACTTACAAAATATACTAACTACAGACTACAAAACATACAAGTTGTTTCGCATATTTTTCCTTGAAATTTAGTTATGTTACATGATACTACTCACCACAAAATATATAATCTATTCACATATTGTTCTGCTGGCACAATAATTGAACCACTAGGACTTTGCTTATCCTCTGAGTCATTCACTATAAGTCTGAGCTGCGTTGGTAGTTGCAGACTATTAAATTATAAGTTGTGGAGATTGTTAAGTTCTTGATTAAGATCATGAACCGATTGATGTTAGACCACCATTGAAAATCTGCAAGCACTGGACGGCCTTTTCGTCCTATTGTGGGGACTCCTCAGCAGTGCGCATCCACGATCTCGCTCGCGGGATTCGAACCCAGGGCCTTCAGTCTCGCGCGATCGAAACCCATAACTACTCACCCTAACGTGTTTTGGTTTAACTTATCCTATCTCCTTGGAGGCTAACGTCACCTGCAATTACAATATCCAAGAGCACAGCATAATTTTATTTTCTCACTTTATGTTATTTTAAATACTCATTGGTAAAGTATCATAAAATATATTTTAATTGGTTTTGCATGCTTCCAGACACTAGCCCAGTTTCGGGATGAAGAAATGGAGCATCATGATACAGGCCTTGAACATGATGCTGAACAGGTAAGTTATTATGGATGTATAATTTAAAAATAAAATTAAAAATAGTCTACTTTAGTATACATTATGTATAGTGTAGAAAGTATATATTTTTAACTTGATTGTTAAACAGATGATGCAGCCGTTAATGTCTTAATCATGTCTGTCGTTTACTTCTTCTATACTGTTAACGTCTTACCATAAATGTGGTTTTTGATAACCTATGAACCTAAAACTTTGACTAAGTAGTTCAAATTTCGAACTCTTCAAACAAAGGTTGATTATGGTAAAAATTAGTTTAATCTCCTTTCTTTATTATTATGAATCATTCTCGTTCACACATATCTATGAATAGTTTTTGTGTCTCATGCATCGTTTGTCCGTTAATTTAACAGTAAAATAACGATGGGCTTAGATGGTATTCTGAAAAGACGAAGTATATTAGACCTATACGAATTTTCATACAGTAATATGTAGTTCCTTTTTTTTTCATTAAAAATCATTGTTTTCATTTAGTCAAAAATGTTTTTTGGTGTTATCAACAACCATGAGTAAAACTTAGTTGATATTTAATGTTTTTATGAAACACGATAATTTGATGATGGCATCAGTTATACAGTGTATAATTGGGAATATATTCAACATGATTAAATAAATAGAACTCATTGGATAATTCAGCTAACGCTTATCTTTTATTTTGTGTAAGTGCTTACAAGTATGTTTCGGATAAATCGAAAATTAGGAGTAAGGTGCTTCCTTCTATCACTGAGTTCACATTAGCCTCACTAGCATATTTTTATTTATAAACTTGAAGTAAAGCAAGAATAAGAAATTGAACGGAATCATGTAAATTCGTTTAAAATTAGTCCTTATCAATTCGTGGTTAATGTTAATAGTTTGTTGTCCTTCAATCCTCATTAATCTGTCATGCAGTCAGTAATTTTAGTTACTTTCCGACTAGTTATTAAATTAATGGTATTAAATCTAAGGAAGATTAGCCACTTTTTGTTAGGTTAAATACCCTTCAATGAAGTAACTTTTTCTTCATATTGCACAAAAAACACAATCGTCTATTGACATTATTTATTGATTTATATCCAAGCTAATTATGTCAGTACATTACTGGGTGGTTGTAGAGACAACGAATTCCTAATCATATGCTTTTGACGTATCGAAGTAAGACACAGAATGTACAGTTTTCATATGCATGTGAAGCTGTAGATGAATCCAATCCAGAGTGAAAAATATCCGTTTAAAACTCTTATGTATATGGTAATAGGACATAATGATTATATCACAGTATTACTACTGTAAAACCATTTAGATGAAATTAAATAACAAATACAGCTCTACAGCATGAATAAAAGGGTTTAAATGATAAGACTGGTGATCAAGTTATTGACTTCATAGAAAAGTTCTAGTGTTGTGTAAAAACTGGTCTGATACCCATCCAACAAAATGTTGGACAGACTGCCTAAAGGGTTGCGATTTGCAATTTATAATTTCTTTGACATGTTTCTTAATTGCTAAGTTTGGTCTTATTTAAGGTGTTTTCAGACACTCAGTTATTTTTTTAAACGACAGTTCATACTTAGCATAGTTACCTCTTTAATTTAATCTTTTTTTAGGATTTAAATTGTACTCTTGTCATGTTGTCTTAGAATCTTTTGTTTTATTGCAGGCTCCTTTCTATAATATCATGTCTCAAATAATTAAAGCGGGTTGTCGAGCAAGTATTTTTTTGGCTGAACGTATATGATAAGAAAATCAGTTTCAATACTAGCTACTTTGTACATTTATTAATGGTTACTCTCTAAATTATGTGTTCTCACTTTATCACGTGTAATGTAAATTTTTCTATAGATTTTGATTCTTCCGTAATATTTTGGTTTATTTATATGCATTACAACTGTTTGCCATCGTTTTTTATTGGTAGGGAGTTCAATTTAGCCTTAAGAAGATTCATGAATAATTGTACGTTGGTTTTTGTCATTAAAGACCCCATAAACCATTCATTACTACGTTGTGTGAATTATATTAATCAAATGAAATATTCGAACCAAATAATTCAGCTGTAATTAAATACTTCATTTAGTTTTCAGCCAAAAACTGCTATGTATTATTATTGAAGCTAAACCGATTATCATGATTCTAATGAGAATTTTACCTATCTTGTTTAGTGACGGTGACCTATCTATTCAGTGCTATATTCCCAGTACAGTAGGGAATTTGACCATGAGATACTTAGATATTTTCCTTTCGTTTGTTTAAACTAGAGAATGCATACATTTGCATATAATAAATAAAAGTGACTATTAAAATGCCTATGATAGTTGTTAGTGGTTACATATCTTCAACCGCAAAGATTGTTCTGTGATCCTTATTTTACGGAATATACGTCGCAAAATAAGTGCCGAATAAGATATCGTAGAGATCTTGTTCTTCTATTTCAGAGAGTAAGTTCTAGCATACGTGTGTCTTGTTCCTTCGCATTTCAGACAGTGGCCAGTCTTAAGTGTAGCACACGATCTATATATAGTCAATTAGCACTTACTAGTTTGCAAAATTTTAAGTAATTACCTACAACCTTATGTTAAACATGATAAAATTGTGGCCCATTTCTTTACATTCATACGAAGGGATGCCTACAGCTCGCTAAAAACTAACATCTCTAAATAAGCCTATTTCACTTCCCTACGCAGCTCTCAAAGAACTACTACTAAATTGTGATAAAACCTTTGATTCGGGTTTGATTGAGTCCCGTGGTTCTAATAATCACATCCTGTCATTATTTACAACTTTGATTAATTTGCCCACATTAGATGCTTTATATGATCTTATTGTTGACACTAGTAGTATCAATCAATCACTTCAACCCAAAAGTTGAAATCCTTGTTTATTTGGACACACAAATATTGGTACAAGAGGGCGCCAGATGTATATGTGCCACACTTCATTTCATTTTAGTTGGGTGAGGGGTGTGACACTGCCCGGGTGACCAGACTGAAGCAAGTGATCTTAGGGGGCCACATCCCGAGCCTTCAACCTAAAGGTCTGACCCACAAAGTAATGTAGCAGCCCCAGGAGATGCGGTCTTATGTTAGTCGGTGACCAACGATTGGTTCATACGTCATTTGTTCCCTCAGGATCCTTGAGCTCATGTACGCCATTGGTTTGGAGTCGGAGTTGCCCAAATCCCATAAGTGGACTCACCGGCCCGGTTAAAGCGCCGGATATTTGCTTTTCGCCCTCACAATTTCGTAAACAACACCTCGGCCACGAGAAGGTAGTGGTTAGGACTTCCCTGGCAGAGGCTGTATACGCATAGCCATGCGAGAGCATTTCTAGAGGGGGAGTGGGCTCTCCTCACGCCCAACCGTACCAGGGCGTTTGGGGGCTGAGATCATTAAATTCTAATAATATGATTAAGCCTACCAGAATCGCTTGTGATAAACTTATTCTTTGGTGTTTATTATAATAGAATCGCTTAAACAAAAATGTGTTCGTCCGGACATGTAACGTTTGCAGTCTGCCGAGGCTAAACGCCATCAAGTAACTGATCTTTAACGACCCAAAAATATTGATAAATCTATGTTTCTTGCGAACGCCAACAACAGTTAACTATGTTACAAGGACCCAAGCGAGTCCGTTTTTGATCCTAATGCTAATGGTTACATTCTAGATCATACATGTTCTACACCCAGTACACAGCCAATAGATACATGATGAATACACGGAGAATACATCTAGTAGTTCGTATAAATCTAGATTCTCATTTAAGCTGTGGTTATTATGGTATTTGTACCATGTGTTAATTTCCTTGTTTTTGATTGCACAATTGTTACGAATGCCGAATATAAGAAGTTTATTCGTGCTCATCTAGTTCTACCTATATTAGGTGGGACTGTTCGTAGTTGGCACATCATTTCGAATACTTCCGATTACATACGTACCTAACTCCAATGCTGGACCCGATTAAAGATGCCCCAAGTATTCAGAGTTTTACAACACCATGTACAGTAACACCTTTTATAGTGGGAACGTGTCAACCTTTTCGAATCAGAAGTGAAGGGGTCCAGAAATATGTTTGGTAAAATATCGAGAAGTGACTAATGTCGAAGACCTACAGATGTATTGATTTTGGGGATTTATTTGCGCTACACGGTTATTGAGAAGTGGTGATTGTGCCTCTAAATTTGTTCATGGATATGTACAGGGGTATCTCGTTTATACTTCGGAACCCGACTTGTTCACTTAAATCAGCTGTCATCACAATATCTGTGGAATGCAAATCTTTTAGATTTACGAAATGCCGGTTGGGCCCACTCCTGCTCCTTTGAATTATACAATCTGTTGTAGGTTAAGGAAATAGGTCGCTGCTCATATAATCTAAAGACACATAAGCGTCCATTGATTGACATCAAAATAACTAGTCCTTTATTTTGCTCTTATGTTTAATACAACACAAACATAATACAAACTGCATGCCAGTGTTAAAATGTCCTCAGGTGCTTAGGACCTCAGTAAAATCTTGAATGCAGTCCTCAGAAACACGCTATACCTTAATATTTAGATTTTCGAAATACGTAGTCAAATTTGTCTGTTACTCGATCAGAATCAACCTGCAAACGCTGAAAGAGGTCGTTTAAATGACATTGTGGTTTTATCAGTACAGCGTTATATCTCGTTTCGATGGAAACATTCAATAAGTCTATCTTTCCGAGACCTGTGACTCCCTGAATAGAGTAGAATGTTTGACAAATACGAGCTGCCGAGTAAATTGAAGAACAAGATTATACGAAAAAACAAACTGAGGTAAAGTGAGACACGTGCGTTTTCTAAAGGCGTTCCTGTATCTGTTGTTGGTTTGGCTGTCAACGGAGTTTATACTTATCAGTTCGCGCCCGGGATTAGTTAACTGGTACCCATTCCTGCATTGGAGTTGGTAGGATGATAGTGTGGAGCAGGATGATGTTGGATATTTATTTCTGACATTGATATTCTGACTTTTGTTGGAACTAAACATCTGAAGATTTTTCCAATTTCGTTTAATTGGCTGCAGTCGGTAACTGACACCAGCAAACTTTGTATCCTGTACAAAGCTATTCGTTTCTTTTAATTAACAGTGGCATATTTCTGTTTTGATCGTGATGTTATCCGATAACTCATAGATAAGGGTGGTTCTGTTGAAGGAGCACTTTCTAGGCGCAAAAGTGACCAAGCGTTTGTCACCATAATACAGTTTATAAAGGTGATCGACATGAGGTTTTAATCCACTCGCTTCTTCAGAACCTTGAAACCTATATAAAACGCATTACAGTCTTCGGTCAAGAAAATAATGATAAGTATCGAGATGTTTTTGGTGATATCCAAGAGATCATGAATACCGAATTCAAATATTCAGGGATTCACAAAATTTGTGGTCATTGTTAATGATTATTAACATTTTCAACGAAGAACAGAAAATAAACCTGTGGCAAGATCAATGAAATATGAAACATATTCCTGAGAGACCTTCGTTTAACAGTCTCCAAGAATTGATGACCTAAATTGACTGATCTCATGGGGACATTGTAAGTTATCGCAAAATAAGAAACATCAAAAGACGTATTCCTTCGAAATAAACTTCACCAAATAATTTGGTTTTTCAAATTCATTTTATCTTTACGACTCACAAATTATTCACACATTCTTTTTTCCTTTCCTACCGTTTTTCTATAAAGTCCATTTAATGTTCCCCTAAATACTATAGGATCGTTTAAATATGGCGAACATAACATAAGTACTGTTGAAACTGATATATAGTTGCACCTCTCAAGAAATTTGAAGTGGTTTCTCCACAGTACTATTTTACCAGTTAGCTCTCTATAGACAATAATAATTATCATTATGATTTTGGTTTAAGACGATTTTTATTGGCATATATTCCCTAGTCCATAGATATGTGTTACTCTTCAGTCATTTGATTCATCTCAAAACCAACGGATGTTGCCTGGTATTCTACGTCGCAAGCATTTTTTAACTATCCTTTCCAATCCCATGAATAACATTTTCGAAATTGAATTTTAAATGAGCCAACGAATAGTTAACTTACATTTATAGTTATGAATCATTCTTGATTGATTTCAAATTAACTCAGTCAACTTATTACCTTCATCGTAAGAGCTCTTGAAATGAAAGTTTTTTGCGAACCCGAAAAAAGTTGGTGATCTCCGTAATGTGATTGCTTGATCTCTAACTCTCCAAATAATTGCAGACGATCTCAAAGTCCTCGTAATGGGCGTTGTGTTGAAGATTTTCGTCAACTAAATAGAAACGAAGAGCCGTCTTCGGTTTTGCTGTTACAGTATTGTCCTGAAATCGCAGAAAACTCCGAAGGTTTCCCGATCTCAAGTTTGCTAAAGCAACTATCATTTCGGAAAACTACCACACAAACATACGTCGGTTACAACCGTAGTGTATAATACACCATTCTATTATGCTTCATAGATGGGCTGACTAAAGTTTGTTGCTAATATCCAGTTTCCAGAAAAGTCAATAGAATATGCGTAACCAACTACTGCAAAGCAGCTGCAAGCATTACACATAATGCTACGTTACTATCTGAGATTTATACTCAACTATGGCCCACATGTTTAAAATACTACACCTCCAATAATCACGGAACTCAAAAGAAGTCAGAATGGGTCAATTGAAATCCCTACCCTTAGAAAGCAACCGCTTTCTCGTCTTCTCACATTTAAAAGACACATACCTACTCGCAGAGTAGGTATTTTTAAGAAAGAAATGAAAACTGAAAAACAATGAAGGAAATTGGATAGGTGGCATGTTTAATTTTTTTATGTTTCTTATTTGTGCTTGTGCATTAGATTACGTTTCACTATTTAGTGAACTTCATCTCCTACTCCTATTGGTCATTTCAGAAGCTGTTGTTGTACTACTATTCTTCAAACAGTTATTGGACACAGTTTACATATACCGCAAAAGTTAGAGCGTGCGTCACACAAGTGTGAAGTCTGTGGGATATGTAAATATTTAATCACTCATTTGCTGAATTATATCTACTGATCAGTCCTGTTTATTTCGGTAAACTGCGGCCTTAATGTGTGACAGCTGTTATTTAATAACAATTATTACACATAAAAATCTTTTACTTAGTAAGAGAAGTAGGTTTTTTTATTTCTCATTGCAGTATGTCTTCGTATAAAAGGTCAATTCCTCTTTAAAAATGTTCACAAACGGGTCTCACTTTGTCTGCCTGAGTAGAGTGCTTCAGTTAACATTCTGACAGCTGAGATAGAATTCTTACGTTCAATTTTTTAACAAATGATTTTTCGGGTTTTTGGTATTGTCTTCGGATATAATAGTCTTTGAGAAAGTAATTCAGTCGAACGTCATAACACCAGAGTATTTTATCATTACTTGTAATGCGAATAGAAGATCATCACTCGATATACGATGGAATAAGTAAAATTGGCTAATGTTCTCAAGGTCACTTAAAATACGTTCAAAGGTCGTCCATAAAATAGAGTTTCACCGTAATTTGTATTCATTTGCATGGAAGCTGCAAAGTTTGATTTTTACTTAACAGACATAGGATAAATGTCTGGATACGATATTTTGGGTTGTCTCACGTAAGGGGGTTATGAAGCTTGACATAATTTGTGTTAGAAAATTTTAAGTCAATGGGATACAAACTCTCGCCCTCCTCACATTAGGTGCTCAAGCCCCTGTTGTGACGATTCAAAAACTAGGCTCACCATTCGGCAATTCTATAAAAAGTGGGTAAAGTCCTAAAGTGGTACTATGTGGAATCTGATCTTCCATGTGCCGCGTAGTTTTGACGTTACTCCATATACACTTCCATTTATTTTCCTGAAATCACCTAATTTTCGAACAGCTTGGCTATTGTCCGTACTTATCTTCTGCCACAATTTCGCTTCTTCAGAAGCCATTACTTAACGAAACCCTCTTATCGTGATAGTTTGGGTTTTGAAATCCATAGCGACCAAATCTCATGAAAATACTAACTGTCTCAATGTACAAGTAGCTAGGCTCACTCCTCTGTTGTCTGGTTAAGGTCTGAAGTTGTATACGGGTAATAACCGGGTTTTGTGAAGTGTTCACTAATATATTTATATTAAAATCACTGCATTTACGCAATAAACTTCAGATTTGTGATACGTAAAACGAATGGAGTACAAACGGTAGAGAAACAAATCTATATCTATAAAGCGTTATATCTTGATAATTTAGCAAGTTTCTAGGAAAACTGGTATACTGAAATTTAATTTTTACTCGGAATAATTTAAGTTTTCAGGTGGTCAACATAAAGCTTAATTGTTTCTGAGCAATCAGAAGCCTCGGAAAAATGTTGGGAAAAGTTATATATATATTAATTTCACTGTCTTTCCTATCCTTATATTTCCGAATTGTAACGTTATGAAAAAGATGATATTTCTGAACAATATCTCCCTGGTTCCGAAACATCTGATGAATACCTGTAGAAATATCACCTTTGTTTACAGCATATTAGTGACAATGGTTCTGATACTCAGCTGCTGATTGCCTTCACAATTAATTGAACGCCATCGATCTACCTAGCTTTGGCTAGCCAGTGGTTATTGACCCAGTTTGTATGCATTTCATTTTATAAGAGAATATAGCTTTCTGTTGTCTAAGATACCTTGATCTAACTTTTAACCTTTTGGACTTTTTCTAGATCACCCTAGATTTCTTTGTTCACTACATCATTATAGTCTCTGGATTTCATTATATTGAAGTTACAGTCTTCAATAGAAAAAACCAAGGTCAGTCTATAATGACCTGGGTTCTCCTCTGGTTCTTATACGCATTTGTTCAATGCGATGACGAAAAATTAGATACCCATTTTGTTGGAGGTAAGTTTTTTAAAAGTCGTAAAGAATAAAGATAACTCTTACTCAGCAAACTTGTTTGGTTCGATTGTCTGTAATGTCCTGTTTCGTAAACTATAGTGACCATGCTATTCCAAAAGAAAGTATATTCTCTCAGCGTACCTTATTTTATGGTTTATCACAAGCTGATCTCGAATCGTTACTATCCTGATTGTAGTGTATTGAAATAAGCTTGGCTCGTCAAGGTTGTGGCTTAAGCTAAGTAGTGATTTCTGTCATTGATCAGCTGTTTTCCGTGACTGCGAAATACGTCTACTTTCATAATAAAACGGAACAAGACTACTTTTCCAATTCAAGAAAGGTAACAAGTCTGTAGGAGCAGACTGATTTATTCATCAATCACTAATTAAACGACATCCAGAATGATAATAGTAAATTGCGTGTCATTTTAAAAGTTTAGTCAATCAATAAATTTGAATGAATTGAACTGGTAGTTAGTCAATAATTTAATTTGTGTATGGGATTCCCCAAGTCAGTAAAGCAACTAACTTGACTGAAAAATATAATTAATAACCGAATCATGTATTCGCTCTATTCTTAACACTGATTATGGTTGAAAAATTGTATTTGTTGTATCAAATTTCCATACTACTGTAAAAGAATATCAAGACTCATGGTAAAGATGAAATATATATCACATAGCGCTTTTGATTTCAGCTTTTGCATCATACTGAATCAATTAGTTGCAGCAAGTTAGTTTGTTTAGTTCATAATAGATACTTTCAGTGGCTCGAATTGTCATAATAACCGACCTCACAAACAGTAGAATAAGGATTAAGGAAATTGAAAATCATGGGGGTGGTGGGTTTTTCAGCTATAACAATTACATTGTTTAAGGATTAGAACTAAAATCTTTAGTAAATAATTTTTCATCTTAAGGCAGTAAACTACATGTATTGTGGTAAAGATTTTAAAGTTCGTGATTTGTTCGTATGCATTAGCCTGACCTTCTTCAGTGTTGTCAGTTTATATTATTGAACTTGTCGAGTTTTGTAAATAAACATTAGGTTGTTAGTTTGATAGTACACTTAGCCCATCACATCCTCACCTCTACGCAAAACTTTGCTTCGGTTACTACTGATCTGATGCTGTTACAAGTTGGTTCTGTAGTTTTTTAATAAAGATGATTTAACTTGACCATCTTGTTTATTTGTTTTGTAGTTCATCGTATTCCCGAACCTGTCTTTCCAGAAATGCATTTTGAGGATCGGCTTCATATGTATTTCAAAAAATTGATACTAATAGCAATGGATTCATTGAAGACGATGAATTAGCATCATGGATCTATAAAACTTATGAGTAAGCTTAGTACACCTAGTCTTTTGTAACGTATTATCTTTGAATATATATTCGATTGAAGACCTTAACTTTATCGGATTTGCATACGTACGTCAAATTAAGTTAGCGCTTATTAAGCAATCCTTAGTTTTCAAATATACAAGACCAATTTCCCTGATTATTGTATTTTATGCACTACACTACCAACTTTGCTAAAAATAATGAAACTGAATCCTCCTTTCCAAACGACATGAAATTTATGAGTTCTTTCATGTACGGAAAAAATAATACAGTGAAACACAGTGATTATATGTCAAACACACGCTCTAGGCTATATATAAACCGTACTTATTATGGGAGATTCAAAGATACAGTGTGTCGGAATCCTAACTATTACATGCTGCGACAAACGGCTAATTGAAATACTCCTATTTGTTCTCATTTAACCAATTTGTGTTAATGGGGGAATCGAGGGGGGTAGAAAGATTCTTATGTAAATTATATGTAAACTTTAATGTCTCCACCACTATCCCTTGCTGTGAGGGTTTTTTCTGATTTAGAATGAGCCGAGTCAAGTATAATATCCAATAAATGCCAAACACGGGAATAATTTAAGAGTATAAGTGCCTGAATGTAAGTAGGTAAGGTAATTTCCGAACCAGTAGTTATTTCTGTCGATTGTTTTCAATGATTCCAGGAAGAATCTCAGTTTTGCGATTTAATGCTTTGTCTCCCGATTTCTATAACATTTTTGTTAGGAGCCCGCTTCGATTCACAAACGTAGTTAAATGTCTGTGTTTAAACTAGCGGTGGAAATAAGGCATATAGACGACTGTGAACCAGAAAACGTTATTTGGTTACGAAATAATTCAAGATGAAAGTAGTAATATAATTGTAATCAATAAACGGTTCTCGCTTAAATAACGAACCTTCATATATGAAACTATTCTTTTCTTCACAAACTGCTACCAACTATAATGCAAGAATGAATTTCTCACCGAAGCCTGATTGCTTCAATCACATACTTTACTTACTCCAGATTTTCTTATTAGATTATCATCACCATATATTGTTTCGGGACTAGAGATGTCGTTAAGCTATTTTAAATGGAATAACTAACCGAGGTTTTACATTTTTGACTTAGTTATTAGTTAAGTACTTAGGTTACAGAATTAATTTAATATTTATCAGTGATAATTTTTTTATACTTACTCTAATAGTACAGTATTGGTTAAATGGTGAATACATTTTGATTCCAACAACCGATTTACAAATGCAAACCTTGATTTAGGTTTGAGCAGCAAGGTAGAATGATTATGCGTCCTCATATTAAAGGTTAGTTATAGCTTGGATCAAGTCAAACTCACTAGTTTTCCAATACAGGAACCATTTAGGTTAAACGGTAAGAGATTATTAAAAATCCATTAAATATCAGACAGGTTCCGAATGATCAGACGTGTAATCCACCTATCCTCAAGTGACACTTTCGTGAGTATAGTTCTCTTTAATGGCTTTTTTGTATTAATTATTCAGCTTGATGTCCGGTGGATATTTTTAGGTATTCGTTAGTCCGAGAAATCAAATTCATATTACATGTCCTGAAAATGACACTTACATTATTTGTTTTATCTGAAAACCAATTGCTAATCTGCCCTTTTTTATTTATGAAAACCTCACTAGTTGTAATGTAATTCGAATATAAAAGTAAATAGTCTCGCAGTATGCACATGTATATTGGCTAGTATTAGTAGGAAGACATGGATTTGCTCCAAACATTTTACTTATATTTTAAATAAACAATGTACATTCCATATTACAGATCTTTGGATCGTGAGCATGCTAAAAAACAACTTACAAGATTTGATGTGAATGAAGACGGAAAAGTTTCGTTCGAAGAGTATATAAATCAAACGTATGAGACTTCTGAAGAGGAATTAAGACATTCAAAAGACGACAAATCGTCAAAATTTATTTTGGAAGTCAGTGGTGAAATTTTATTAATTTTACGTGGTTGTGTTTATCAAGTGACTAAAAGCATTAGTATTTAACTAATTCCCATAAATTTTTATTTCATCAAGTTTTTGGTTGTCTTATCAGACCTTGGATTCAGAGCTGCAAAATTAGATTATAATTATTTTTAAATAGTTTCCAAAAACTAAGAGAACTAGAGACTGTCATCATTTTGTTAAATGATGCTATCTGCTGTAAGTAGTATGTCTGCCTAATATAAACCATCCTCATGAAATCAGTGATAAATAATTATCTCGTGATAGCATGTTAAGCGGTATCAGGAAACAAAGGTGATCACTTTCAGTATGAACCCATATTTAAATATATTAATGGAAACCATACATACTTGAGATGGTGGAGAAGATTTGTAGCTCAGATGGATGATTTTGGCTTTCTTTTGCTGGCGTTTTTCAGCAAATTCTTTCTTATGACGAGGTGATGCTAACGCCGCACTCAACCCTCCGTCACCGTCTTGGAACTGGAAGTAATCCTAAATGAACTCTTGACGGTGTCGCTAGCTGACTGGAAGTGTAAACTGATGAAATAAATGAGACCAATTCTACTAAGTTAAACATATTTTTTGCATCTTCTAGCTCTTATTATTGTAGACTGATCAATAAGTTAAACCTTCTGCGCATGGAAAGCAGTTGCTTTTACGAAATTCCTTATTATATTTTATAGTTATTAAAAGATGAACGATTACGTTTCAACTTTGCTGATAAAGATAATGATGGTTTATTATCACTAGAAGAATTCACTTTATTCTTACGACCTGAAAATTATGAAGATATGGCAAATTATGAATTGCAAAAAACTTTTCCAGTTTTGATCAAAATGGTGATGGTATAATTACGAAAGATGAGTTTACAAATTTTTGTAAGTTTTTTATTAGTTCCATACTTTTTAAGCAGATTAGAACCTAATAAGCACATGTATATTTATACCTAAAGTACATTTGTGAAGTTAGTGTGAACATTTTCTCTTCCAATAAATTTATTACTCTTAGTAATAAAAATTGGCTTTAATGTTCGTCAATTCCTCGTGAAAATTAAAAGCCAATAGAGCTAGTTACGTGTAAAGATTTTGAAGTCAAAAAATGAAGTCAGTGCGTCCATAACCATTACGATAAACCTTGTTTCAAAATTTTGTCTTTCAATGACAAATTGACGTAAATTTTTGAGACATGCTATGAATAAAAATGGGCACATCTATTTAAAATATGAGTAGTAAAACTAGTTCAAGTGAAATGATCATGACATTTCAAGGAAGGGAAATTTCCTCACACGAATAGAGCTTCACCTAGTGGCTGATACAAATATGAAAATCAAGGATAATTAAAATAACCCACTGTGTCATTCAATAAAAATTAAGAGAGTTCAGCGCAGACAATTTTTCGATGAAACCATTTATTGAAACTGTACATTCGTATTTATAGTTGAATGGTAGATATATATCCATAGGATGATAGAAAAGATTACATCATAAAATGATTCGCGACTCCAAATATCACATAAGGTTGAGTAATAATCAGGAAGTTTATTTATTTTAATTTTATTTATTTTAACATATAGATATTGGTAAAAGGAGGCACCAAATACATATGCGCCACACAAATCTCATTTGATATGTGTGAGGGCTGTGATACTACCCAGGTGCCCAAACCGAAGCAGGTGGTTTCCTAGGGGGCACACCCGGAGTCTTCGACCTGAAAGTCTGATCCACAAAGCAGTGGAGCAACGTAAGGAGATGCAGTCCCATGGTAGCTGGTGACCAACGATTGGCTCTACGTCATTTGTCCCTTCAGGATACTGGAGCCCATGTGCACCATTGGTTTGGAATCAGGGTTTTCCGACCCCCTAGGTGGACTCTCTGTCCACCAACCGGGTTGAAGCGCCGGAAGTTCGCTTTTCGTCCTTTCAATTTCGTAAGCAACACCCCTGTCACGAGAAGGCAGTGAATAGAACTTCCCTGGCAGAGGCTATGTACGCGTGGCCATGTGAGAGAATTTCGAGAGGAAGAGCGGACTCTCCCCACTCTCGGCTGTACCAGGGCATTTGGAATCTGGAAAAAAATTGAGGTTCAGAATTATGAAAGATAATTGTCTACGTGACAGATATGAAGAAAAATGAAAGACTAAAGGTCTTAATAATAACCGAATAATAATCACGACAATTTGCTGAAGGATAATAATAACTGATGACGGTTAAAATTACAAGACTCTACAGAAGGGAACTCGGGACAAGAGAGGATAGGAAGTTGGACGTATCGTTTTTGTACGCAGAGTTCGGGCTTGAATTGGTGAATCACCAACTCCTCAGCAGTGCATAAATTTTTTATCCGACCTCCCTTCGATCCAGTTCCTTTGATTGTATAGATTATTTTGAACGAAGACGTCGGAGCGACACGTCTGCAGTTGATTAGATACGCCTGTATTGGACTGGTAACTGTTTTGCATTCTCCTCTTAAGAGCCACTCCGGACATTGTTAAGAGATGCTTTTGGGAAGTGATCGCTTTGTGTGGCCAATGTAACCTGTCCCACAGGATCAGATAAATCAAGGAATATATGGGGGAATTCGATCGTCAGGAGCTAAGGCGAAAATCGAATTTCGAAATAAATGTCAAATTTAACAGTTTTATCTCCTGAAGCTCGTTTGTTATCGAGATTTTTGTAAGATACCCTTGTGTTGTAGTCAACCTCATACTAGTTCTTAATTTAAATGTTTTTCATGTCTGCTTTGTTTTAACCGCGTTGGTAATGTGTTCAACCTTACACTAAATGTAAGAATGTATAGTTTTTCGTTTATGAATGTATGTATAATTGTGTTGACATAAATTCATTCTTTTCATCGTACTTATCTGTCATAGAAAGTGATGATTCTGTGTATTCCGGGATATTTTAGCGATATTATTTTACGGTCGATTTTCTACAAAAAAGTTTCAGTTATATTCATTTGCATATGAATTAATGCATAAGATATTATGGTAGCTAGGCATTATGAAGTGGAGCATTCTCATTTCACAAACATCCGAAATTTTAATTTCTACTAACTGGGATATCACAAATATATTATTGTTTGATTATTAGTTTGAGGGTATTGGTTTATTTTCTCAAGGTGTCTAATAAGTACAAGTGAATTAGTCTACACTCTGAGAAATATCACTAAGCTAACACTTCATCTAAAAGTATATGATTTAGTGTCTTGTATTTTACTAATAGAAACAAACGTTTGTTTGTCAGTAAGTCTTCTATAATTTATTTCTTGTATAAAACTCACTTAACGTACAATGTGGATCTGCTACTGTGGTTTGTAAAGCTCCTATATCCACTAGTGTGATCAGAGATTGGGAGAATGCCCTAGAATGTGTGTGTGTGTGTTGATCGTTGTTCCCAATAAAGTTATATGAAGTACCTTTACTACGCAGATACTGGTGCCACAAAAGTGAAAGGGCAAAAGCCCACACCCAGTACTTGAAACGGGTCGATACGTTAAATCGATCCAACTTAAAGAGTTGAGACATATACCAGCGGTACAAATGGGTTGTAGAGACTGAAACAGATATGATCATAGACTACCATTTAAATGCTTCTTTTCACCTTACACCACTGTCTTATGGATTAGATCTCAAGGTTAAATGCTTAGCAGCTGGTTCTCTAAGGAGCTCTAGAATTATCGTGGTCTTTACAGCATTCGTGTCCGTCTCAAAACAAAGAAATCAAACCTGAATTCTTTTATGTTTAATTGGGTTAAGATTTCCTTCGTCACTTATAAGTGAATAAATAAACCAAATGTGAAATACTTAAAATCTTATATTACTTTGAGTACTTTTTTGATGATTTATTTTTTTCGTGAATAATTCTTCAATACTGATAACTACATATTAACGTATAACACTTAATTTTTGAAAAAAATTATAATTGATTTAGCCTATCGAGGTGTATCACAAGAGAATTATTTGCATGAACAATTCAGTAATCTTGACGTTGATAAAAATGACATACTCATTCTGGATGAATTACGGCCATGGTTATTGCCTTGTAAGTTAATCATGATTGTCTTTAGAGGATATCGCAATTTGTAGATGACATTCATTCTACAACATCATGCTTTAAACTCACCATCTTTGATCTTTTATTATCTAATCCCTGAGTTAACAAGTACTGGGATGTAAAATTTTATGGGATGATACGTGCAAAAGAAGTCTGATCTTCCGTAACCTGTGTTTTAAGGTAATAATACTCGTTCAGTTATTATCCCTATTGTACCCTAACAGGGATTGTGAGATCTCAACCATGATTGAGGTGCTAAGGTAAGACGTCGAACATCTTAGGCTTAGAGAAGTTCGATTTCACAAGCATATAGTAGAATCGCTGTCACCGATTCGTGCATCAAATGACAGCTAGATTAACGTTGTGACGGCCCAGAAGATGGCGTATGTTAATATGAACCTCTCCGACTTCCGCTATATATAAATTGATATAATCTACCACACCTTTAATATCACTCATCCTACTACAATAGAATTATTCTATTTATCAAAGAATACTGTGAAATCACCAGCTTAATCACTAAATAGTATATTACATCGTATTCGTCATCTAATAATTATATGTACTTGATAAACTGTTGATAGCCTGGTTATTAGCAAATAATACACAACTGGATTTGTAGATACTTACCGATTCATCTTCAACAACACACATATTATTTCTTATTGTAAAATATACTTATTATTTATTATTACTTCTAAAAAAAACTTAAATTATCTGAATTGCTTTTTCATTTAGCTTTAAAAGCGGCTGCAAAATCAGAAGCAACACGATTAATGGATCTCACAGATTCTAATCATGATGGTAAACTTACATTAGAAGAAATCTTGGCTAAATCACATTCATGGAAAGATAGTCAAGTTGTTAAACATGCGCGATCATTATGGGATGAATTGTAGAGGTAAACGAGCATAACGTATCTTCTACTATTATCTCTGTAACTCAATTATGTCCAGTTATGTAATCTGGTCGTTGTGTGTAGTATTTTATCATTCCGTATCTTTTCAAGTTGATAATAAAACATTGAATTTCTCTTTGTGGTATTTACTGAACGTCTGTGGATTTTCATCTTTTCGCATCGTTTTTCCTCAATCTGTTGTTACAAATTCACTTTTAATTTGTTCTCACTAAAAACCATAAATGCAGTTGTATATTTTGTTTCTTCTCACATTCGCCATTTGTTCTTATTACTTTTAGCAGTTATCTTCAGCCAAATATTTTGTAAAAATATCTTTTGTGGTTAGATAGACATTGTAAGACTATTCTCTTCATCATTCGACTAACCATGCCACTTACGGGAACAACGTTGAGATAGTTGAATAAATCAGACATTTACAACAAAAAATACTTTAAAAAATACTAGCTCAACTTTCCAAAATGAAGCTCTGATTCTTTAATAGGTAGTAAATCTAAGGTACTGGAATCGATTCGCGTTCACTTAACTTATTAATTTATTCGATTTATAGATTTATTTGTGATTAGTTTATTTCAAACCACTTAGATTGATAAACCCCACTCGTTTAGGTATGGTTGATGGATGAAATCAAAATTCTGAGTGGCTACACGTTTGCTTGTCATGTTTTGTAGTTGTCGAACTTTAATACGCAACTTCTGAACAGGCCCTAATTCTGTTATCACCAAAAATGTTTTGGTCAGCCCACATATGAATGATAAGTTGGTAGGTAACTGTTTTATCACACTAATTTTCTTCTCAAGTCTCTCCATCCTGTTGTAAATTTAGTTGAGTATAATTTACGGAGAAACTAGTTAGTTTAGTAACTGTATAATTTATGTAGAATGAGACATCAGTGATTGGTCTAACTTAATATAAAATGTTTATCTGAATGGAACTATTCACAGAATAATTCACTAAATATATAATCATAGATAATATCAATTTCCTGATTAGTGATTTATGACTTGTAAATGATAGATTCTATGTCAAATATTGAGTTCTAGGTTGATTCCTTAAAATGAGTCCCCCAATTTACCACTCAGGAAAGTTCAGAAAAATTTAATAAGAATCCCAGTAATTTCCAAAACGTACGTATGCTTATGTTGAATTGACCTTACGTTTCAGCCAATTTTACGGACAAAATATTTTTATTTGAAACTTCAAACTACTCACAAGTATTAAAATTCCGACTGTGAAAATCAGAATAACAGAAGTAGCTAAACACGGAAACTCAATGCATCTCGTTATCAATTGGTTAAGTATTTTTTGTTGAACTGAAGTAAAAATAAGTTGTGCTATCGTTTTTTAGGGGATTTCTTTCAGTAAATACCACTTAGCTTTTGTTCTATTTATAAGCAAAAATGGATGGTGACTAGCAGTGGAATCCTGGTTGCGTGTTTCGTCCTATTCACTCCAAGAGATACAAGCAATCATTATCAGGTGAATTTGTGGTTTTATTTAGTTTAACAAAACCTAACTTTCTCCCTTGAAGCTGAATTTAATAAATGTAAACCCCTACTATGCATATTTTTTCGCTAACTATTTAACAGCAAATGTCCGATATAAATTATTTGCTGAAGTGACATATATGTAGCCTAGATAGATTTTCCAAGCGACACCGAAACTCATTAGTCTGTGTTCATAGTGTCAGGTGTCTAAAGCTTCATAGAAAATCTAGTCGGTGTAGTTCGCTTCATTGTATGTATGCAATACAAGTCGAGTACCTAAAACTGTCTAGACTTTCTGTGTTTCTTCATAATCTGAAGGTGGTTTAACACCTTGAACTCGGCGGATTGTCAATATCCTCTAGCTCTATACAATAGTTTCATGTTACCATCGTTACACAAAGCGTACTATTAATTATGGTTTTTATTCTACATATTACTTTCAACAATAATAATTGTTTGACGGATAGATGTTTATCCGATTACTTAGGTTTTCTTAAGTATTAATATTGACCTAAATACTAAGTTAACTGAATGTATTTGAAAATAAATTTGTGTTCACCACCTGTTTATCAGTGTCTACTTTTTTTCTTAACGGATATATATTAATAAATGGAATGGACCGGAACAAGTGACTAGATGTATGATTAGTAGTTTTTGTCTAATTGTTACTTTTTTTCTGCCTAAAAATTCCTTTATGATCTAATCTTAATTCTGGATTTTATAGTTATAAAATATTATCAATTAGCTTGTCTCCAAAGGTTTATATTCATATTTTTATGTAGATAGTTGGAGACTAAGTAGAAGGCGAGAAAATACACGTCGTATTTACAGAACCAGGTAAAGATATGTAGACCGTACCAGTGTAGTGCGTGAAGTAAAAAGTCAGTTTACTTCCATAAATGTTGGTAGTTTTTGGAATTTTTAGCTCAAAAGTATGATTTTAGAGTTGTTTTGTTTTATGGACTAGATAATTTTATCATGAAGGCTAAATTCCTTATGGACAATATAAGAGAATATTCGTGAAAGATATTAGGTACCAGGATTTCTTCTTAAGTTTTTAGTAGTTTATTCTGTTCATCTAGAGTGTGATCAGTTAGTTTGGTAAGTTCTATAATTCAATGGATTTAGGCTGTTTGCTAGTTTGGTTTATTAAGTTTGCGAATCATTATTTATGTTGCTATGCTTTCGGGTAGTTTACACGACTCTAGCCCCTTACGTAGTCTTATAAACAAGCTTAGGTTCATAAACCGGAACTAACCGCAAGATAGATCATAGATATTGTAACCGCCGTCTTAATTTTTCAAGTATTGAGCTTCGTAGAGTGATAGGAGCCTAAATGTCGTCGAGAAAGCCTTTATTGAAAGCATTCGATGTCCAACTTTAACAGTTTAAGCTTTTCTTCAAAATTAACTGGTCATCTAAAGGAAATAAATTTCTACCACATAGTTGGTTTAATTTAATGTATTTGATAAAACTCGTTTCAATTTCATTATGGTAAAGTATGGTTTTTGGATGTACCTCTCTCCTGATGGCTTTCAGCCAGTCAGCCGAAGAAGAAACAAAAATGAGGAAACTCCGCATAACTTTTATTCTAGTCGAAGACTTTTTCAGTAATGCACTCTCACACGTCTACAGATAGAAACTGGGACTTCGAAATCAAATGACTAGTCACTTATAACTGGAATCATTTCACCAAAATAATGATTCCTGTTTATTATTTGACCTGATATAATATTTTAAGGCAATATTGAATATCTAGTCTATTATTGAACAGTGAAATGTGCATCTGCAGTACATATTTTGTAACTTTCGATTAAATAACGACAATTAGAATACTAAAAATCATTTTAGGGCTACATCAGTAACATTATTCATACGTTCGTTTATTTTTATAATATATCCTAAAGATCACAGCATACTGCATTAAACAAAATGCAGTAATTATATATTGCTGTCTCCTAAAGATCTGTTTGTATTTATTCCAGAAAGTTATTGTTGGTTGATTACAAGCTGTGTAGACTTTCATGTGCCAGTTTCATTGAATTTCAGATATGTTAGTACGTATGTAATTTATTCAGATCGATTTTCTTTCATACTTTTGTTTGCAATGAAATGTTTTTTCATCTAATGAAGAACAACACGAAAATGAATTTGGGCGGATGACAAACTGTTCAGTGTTTTTATTTGTTTATGGTCGTTCACTAAATGTTATAAGCCGCCAGTTTCAGCCCATATGACCAGTTATTAGTGGGGAAATAGCATCTGTCGTCAGTTGATCATGATTCTGTCCGTCACTTTAAATTAAATCATGCTCACAACAGTTCGAACTGTTATCATCAAGGTACCTCAATAGTTAAAGTAATCGTAATATTTAGTGGCCAGTTGTACGTTTATTAACTAGGAAATTTGATTATGTAATTTGATAATACCTGTTATTTTATAAAAAGACATACCACGAAATGATGTTCATGATTATTTTGAGCAATGAAGATGTACCTAGAAAATACTTATCTTGATTTTAGCGAATGTCACTAAGTGCTTAAACTATGGCAGTATGATTTCTAATATTGTCCCTTCTAATCATGCTAACTTCACCTGTATGCGGGTAATCCACACAAGATAACTATATTTCAACATAAGTCAGGAACATTTGCCCTATTTAAAAAGAGAAAATATCAGTTCTGTTAAAAAAAATTGAATATCAATATTCTGGAAGTTTTAGGTTTATGGATGATAGTTGTATGGCTGAAGCGTATCATGTTTTCCATGTATTTATATTCGAAGGTTTAAAAATAAAAATTAATCTTCATGAGTCCACTGAAATGATAAAAAATGACTCGTAAACATACTGGGAAAAGTGTTCGTTTTTTCGAGTCTTAACTCAATAATACATGGTTTGATCATCATGAAAAACTTGTTTTTTTATATTCAATTACTTCACCATAGATTTATCAGTTTATATTAAGTACCGTGTCATAGTCCATGCAACAATTATCCAGCTGCATGATGAATGTCTTTCAAAGTTATTTTGTGAGATAAATGCTTGAATTATTCCATCGATACGTTATTTTCAGCTAACTCTTGTCTTCAGTTGAGAATACACCACAGATTCAAGAGATCTTAATATTGCCAAACGCCACTTAATTTGCTGATCCAGGCAGCATCACTCACGAAAATGTAACCACTAAGATACTGAATGGTTCTACTCAATGTTTATCTTCAAGTTATGTAAATACTGTTTCATCTTTTCAAAGTAAGTTTCTACAGGGTGGATTTCTGAGACACTTCACCCTTAAGAAGGTCTAAAAATCACTTCGGATTTTTTATAAGATTTTCTCAAAACTTGGTAAATGAGTTTATCGTAACTTCAGATAAGTGCAGTTCCACAATGAAATGTACCTGTCATCGATGTTTATAAATGACCAACTAAGCGTGAATATATGATATCTGTAAAAGTAAATGGGAAAATAATCATTCATTATATAGCAAAGTTCTT